GAGCTAAGACTATATGCCAGGGAGTAGTACCAACAATTGAAAGAACAGAAAATAGATGGTGGCAGCTTGTATGACAGAAGGAAACTCCGATATAGGAGAATCCTAGCTAAGGGTAAGCTAGGATGGTTGCGTTAACGCCTTACAGCATAACCAGTGGAGGCAAGGAGGGGTACCTGCACACCCCCGACGGCGCGACGTTACCAGGAGTACCAGTTTACGACAGAACTAGTGGAGGCGAGGAAGGATACCTCCACGGCCCCTACATGCGGAGTTACAGTGGTGACAGAGGCGTGCTGACTCCACGCCCCCCCCTGTACCACGGCATTACAGCGGCGGCAGCAGCGGGAGGGATACCTCCATGCCCCCCCTGCGCCGCTAGGGCATTACAGTGTGTTTGTGTGTGTTGTAAAGTTTGCCACAGGTTTTGTTTGACCGCCTTCATTGAAGCCAAGGCCCATTTAACAGCCCATGTGATAGTGTCATGTTCCCTGACTAGGTGGCGCCCAAACAATTACAAAGGTGAGGCTATGTCATCACCGGCTTCCACAGAATCGCAAAAAGGGTGATTCACTATGAGCAGCTGTGTCTACTTTGACACTTTGCCAGTGAGCAGCTGCGGCCAACTTTACCTCATCTGTGACTACACAAAGCCTACGGAAGCTTTCCGGCCACAACACCTATCACATTAAGCAGCTGGTAATAAAACTTACAGCTTGTTGGAACTTTTTATTTCCAGTGTGTTTCAGATGTACAGAATTGTAGTCATTCATAATTGCAAAGACTAAGCTATTTTGCAGTAGATTAACTGATACTTTGTAGTGCTGAATCGGTTATGTAATTGGTAAGTATAAAGTAACATTTGAGGTAAAATAATGGTGTTAAAATTGTAGTTAATGTAGTGGTTAGAGGAATGTTGTTATTGAATGTTGGTCTTTTGTCTATTAGAAGTTAAAAAGGTAAGATCATTAAAAGCTGAAAAATGAAACACTAATGAAGGTTGAACATTCATGGTACAGTGGTGGTGGTTTCTATGAATATCATTTTGTTATGACATGGATATTCATGAAGCATCTGAACTGTTTTGCTTCTGGTCTTAGGCGGCCCAGACATGTCCAACTCGGCGAAGAGCCAGGCTCAGGTTAATTTCACCACACATGTGAGCGTGGCGACCCACACATGGACAAGTTTGGCTCATTGGAACCTGAGCCGAGTCAGACTCGTATGTTTATGGGCCCCGTAAGGGTGTTACTCACGGAGAAACTTGACTCCCAATGGGTAGGCACTGTTGATATTAATCCCCTGTTGAATTCACTACATCCGTGGAAGTGACGGTTTATGGATGTTCTGATGGCCTGTGTGTTTGGCTTGTCATACACAGCCAACCTCAGGGAAATCACACTGCATTTCCATAACAATGAACACCTGTAAATGCTCTTGGGGAAGTAATCACTTTTTATTGTGAGAATCATACAGAATACACAAGTACAATGAGTGAGAATGCAGAATTTTCTAATGTTAAAGCAGGTGGTACACATGGTAACCAGTGTGCTTTAAGGGTTAATATAAACATGTTTTAATACAAATTAATTAATTGGCTTGGCAAACAAATACATTTTGTTTACGTGGATCAGGAAACAGCCCTTTGGCAAACATTTCTTCCCATTTACTTCCATTCGGATACTCATAAGCCTCGGCTGACTCAGCTTTCAACGCCGTGCTGTAACCGGGCATCTGCAACAGATTGCATGACAGCATGAACAGTTTCTGTCACAGGATTACAGTGTCTGTTTCTTCTGTTAGAATGTGGTGTGCAAATGCTGCATGAAGGGTGGTGGTGATATTACCACAGAGTTATGAATGACTGGGTTAACTTAGTAGCATAGTGACTAGGCCATGGGCTAGACCACCAGAGAACTGGAGTAGAGTTCCCAGCAGGGGCATTGTTGAGCCTGAGCCTCATATTCAGTGGGTAAATTGGCCAGGGCATGAAATTGATCACTTGCCTGCATCTAATGCTGAGGTTAAGAATGTGTGGAACTACCTTCACTCCACCATATTGTTCATGGCACACTGCTTAACTGAGAGCAGGGGCAGTTTTGTCTTTACCACAGAGTTATAAACACTGTTAACTATCATTCATGTGCACAGAATAGCTAAGCTGACTGGAGAGGAACACAGGGAAGCATGCTGGACTAGAAGTACAGCAGCTCAAAAGATGTGGAGGGGGTTGCTCAACAGAACTGCTTTCCATGGCCTCAGTATAGGCAATCATGTTCACCTTAATTTATCTATCATCTCCTGGTTTATTTCTGGTTTTCTGGTGTGCTGCCTTCTTTGTTAGCATTGAGAGCACTTTTGGCTTCCTGACATAGGCCAGAGGGGCCTGAAAGAGAACAACAGTGGCAGAGCGGAAAGCCCTAGGCACTGTCACCATCTATGGCATCTCTCTGTATAGCCTTAATATGGTTACCCCGATGGGGGGGGTGGGGGCTGTTAACACATGAAAATGAAACTATTCACTATTCTCATTGAATTCGTGAATTTCTTGGAACAGATTTTGATATACTGAATATATCTGGTTTCTGACTTTATTTAATAACTAGTGCAGAACGTGTTCAAAGTTCAGCAGGGAGTTGTGGATCATAAAATCTATTGACAAAACAGTTTCTCTGCACATGCAACACTTCTGGCCTATAAAACAAACTTCATCAGAAACATGTAATCTCAGGTACACAGATTTGTGATGTATGAGTGACAGTAATTTAATGCCACATAATTTCAGCCATACCGTCCAGTGCCATTTATTTCTGTCACTTTCTGTTCTATCTGTAACTGGTACTGACTCTGTCGTCTTCTGCTGTCAACTCACAAGTAACATTGTCACATGATTTTAGTGACTATAGATGGGGTTTGGATTGGTAATGGGATTTACTGCACACTTATACAAATCATTAGTACACTTCACACACTAGATCTTCTCAGTCTGTTACAGTCTCCATTAACCATTGCTTGGTATTGGCTCTGAACAGCAGATACCCCCCTTCCTCTGGGTTTCCGAACTGTCCCCATGCCTCAACTGCCAGCTTCTAACAGCAGCAGCTCACAACAACTGAACCGCAGCAGTTCTCCAACTCACTAATTCACCAAATGACTGCAACAAAGTTAGAGTTACTTTACAACTGGTGGTTTACTGCCAGTCAGTTCTTGGCACCAAGCCCCATGAGGCCCATGATCACAGATTCTTTTGCAGTTATTTGGTCTCTTATCCTTAGGCTTGGCCTTTGTCAAGCATACATGTTGTGCATGTATTGAAAATTTTTTCCCTTTACAATACATACAAGTCCTCTGTCATTCCAGTATTTGCAAAGTGAATCATGCCTCAGTCATATAGCCTCAGAGCCAGATCCACAAAGAACACCACTTGCCTGCCTTCAACAGCTAATTGGCCCTGCTTATGACATCTCGGCATGGACTGCCTAGAAAATTCCTTCCCTCTGTTGCAGTGCAGTTGTTGTGTTTGTGTGTTTTGGGGTGACACATGATCACTACTGAGCCATTGCCTAGCAGCAGCTGTCGTATGCAGAGCCATTACTTAGCAATGGCTGTTGCTTAGTTAATTATTTTATGGTCGTTGCCTAGCAACAGTTCAGCATGCCACTATATTTAATAACAAAGTAGCAAGCAAGCATTGTCATCTTGTGGTCCTGTTCGTAACTATTTGCTAACACAGATAATGACAGAAGAGCTAATTTTTAATCTTTAATGCAGGGTATCCAGTGATTTTATGCAGACAATATTAAAATGGATCTTAGAGAGACAGGATGGGATGGTATGGATTGGATTGATCTGGCTCAGGATAGGGACCAGTGGAGGGCTCTTGTGAACATGGTAATGAGCCTTCAGGTTCCATGAAATGCTGGGAAGTTGTTGAGTAGCTGCAGATTTGGCTTCTCCTCATGAAGGGCTCAGCTCCATAAGTAAGTAAGTAAGTAAGCAAGCAAGCAAGCTGTTACACCTCAGGGGGAGGGGGTGAGAAAATATAATTACTTTGGTCTGTTGCTACTCTTTTTCTAAAATCTTCGCTGCACTCGGCTGCCGTCGGCTGTCCTGGTTATGGTCGCTCGGGATCGGTCGAAGACGGGATGGTTACGAACGGGTGAATCAAAACTTCCTGCGTACATCTTATCCTATGTACACTGATCTATTTACATTAATATTTACATTAAGAAAAGGGCCTGCTTGGCCTGTTGACATGACACTTCTCGCTACTCTCTCTCTCTTTGTTATTTTCCCTCTGGAGGTGGGAGGTACCCTGAAACTGTAGTTCTTTCATCGCCTGTCACTCTCTACTCGGTTACTACCCTATTCGACCCTGGCTCTCGCTGGGGGTACACTGGAGATTGCACACTGAAATCTCACAACAACACTTTTATCAACAATACTATTAAACAACATGGCTGATATGCGTAAACGAGACTTACTTGACATAGAAGAATGCAGGCCCTTCCAGCACTCGTCAAACCCATATTGAATAGCGCCTCCGGCTGACAACTGACTATTATCTGTGAGATCAGAACCCCAAGTCTCTCGAAATTCAGTAATTTATAGTTTTAATTTGCTAATTCAGCTGTTGACGACAGAGGGTAGTTAACTCCTCCCTAGTGTCCCCAATTCCCAAAGTTATATTCTAATTGGTTATTCCCTGGGGATGTGGGTGGGCCCATGGCGTCTCATCACTGCGTAATTAATAACATCATTATACTCCAGTGGCCGAGTGAGGCAAGCTTCTTGCTAGTGCGATTATGCATAAATGCTGATCATCAACATTGTTAACCTAGTTGCCTGTCCAGGTGTTGTCATACTACTGTAATGGCTGTAACACACTTTTCGCAAGTCTCGAACATTTAGGTAATGGCTTAAATTTCCAGTCTCAAATTTGAGGCGCTACACAAGCTGAGAATGTTATTCCTGAGTTCATTCCCAATCAGAAATGTTACATGAACATGAGTTTGATTCTCAGTGGTTATAGAATTATGATGGATATTCAGCATATAGTGTTTTGCTCTGTGCTTATAGCTGACAAATTCCTTTTCATTTCTTTGCCATGAAATATCACAAGCCTGTAGTGCTGGGTTGGGCTGGGCTGGGAGTGAGTGAGCCAGTGGTAGGAAGGGAGTGTTAATATCCTTAAGAGGACTTGATAGACATAACACTGGAAAGGGCAATGGTGATTTATCATTTTCTTGGAGGAACAAAACAGTACCAATATGTAGTATCTCTTGAATGCAGTGCAATACATGCTGTTTGCAGCATTCACTATGTGCTTGATTATGTCTAATTGCACACTATGTCGTCACCCTCCCACCTCCCTACAGGATTTGGTGCTAAGCTTACCTTAGGTGCAATGTAATGGGCATGTAGGACATGTATAGAATTTTCAAAATGTTCGTGTTGCTGATCTGCGAACTCAATCATTCGACCCTCTGTTGTACCAGTCAGACAAATGTAGTCGAATATTTGGAGGTGCTGTACCATCTCACATAGGCCAACACCTCCTGCATGGGGACACACTGGCACTGAAACATGTAATAATGCAGTGTTTCAAATTGAGTTGTCATGTCTGAGGGTGTGTGGGTATGTGTGGACATAGTTTTGTTTAATAACTGTGTATGCAACATGAAAGGCACCAGAGTCTGTTTAGTTTGGCAGGGTTTGATTCTGAATTAATGTGTAGTAACAGAGCTTAGAAAAATATATTTGTGTTTTTGGTCCCACCCACAAAATACAGTGGCTATCTGAACCGTTTTCTAGCTTTCAGCTTAATGGTAGTGACTAATGAATTACTTGTGCTAGGTGTGTGAAATTTAGTATGAAGACAGATTGGAAACATGTCATGAGAAAACTATGATTTGTGAGTTCGATCAGAAATGGGTTTATTAGGTGCTTCTCTCTCCTCTTTACAAATGGCTGCCTGCCTGCTTTCACATCTCAATATGTCCAATTTTCTATACTTCTGGCTCTGCTGGGGCCACAATGTCTAACAGTTTCTCTGTTGTTGCATATGGACCATAGACATCCTGTCATATACTCGCACATATGTATGAAATGTAATGCAGAATTCTGATAAGGTTATATATGACAGACTTGTGGGCAGAATCTATATTTAAGTCAAATAACATAACAGTAATAATAGCACTAGGTCTATAGGATGATCTGTGGAACAGGAAATTAGGCTTTACGTGTTCTCACTGGAACATCTTGTTTGCTCCTACAAATTACTTGCAATGTGTCTGACTTCAGTAGAAGACCCGTGTATGCTGAAGATAGAAGACAAAGAATTCAGGAAAAGGGTAGGGACTGACCCAGATTCACTGCACCTATCACTGATCTTTGTTTCTTATTTCAGGTGTTCATGCAAACAGATACAAACCTCCAAGTTTTTTTGCCATAAAGTAGACGGATAGGACCTCATTGACTCCCCCAATACGGCATGAATCAATTTGGCAATACTGCATTGCTCCTGCCTGGAGGAACTGCTTAAACATGACACGATTGCAACACATCTCTCCAGTAGCTACTCCAATTCCCAATGGCTTCAGCGCCTGCAACACCCGAAATGTTGAACTCTTAAGAGTGGGATTTTACATTTAGTAAGAAATCAAGGATAAACAGTGTCCAGTGATAACTTAGTTTCAAACAGTAGAACCTTAAGGCTTCACTGCTCTTATTCTTGCTGATTTGTGCCGCCACATATCTTGTGGTTCTACCTTAGATACGGGTGGCATGTGTTAGTGTAGCTGGTTGAGGCACTATTCTACAAGCCCGAAGGTCGTGGGCTTGAATCCCGATAAAGTCACTGGATTTTCAGTTAACTTAATCCTTCCAGCCGCACTATGGCCTTGGGGTCAACTCAGCCTGTAACACAAATGAGTAGCAGGGATCTTTCCAATGATAAAGGTGTGGCCGGCACATAAGGCTGAGAACCTCATCAACATCTGTGAGCTGACTGTTTAAAAAATCTGGGAGCCTCGAGATGACTCACAACTCTATGGGCCTCCACTACCTGTTACAGGGATTGCTTTAGCTTTTACTTTTTTTACCTTGGATATAGTTGCATGACCCAAAACATCATCAGGAAACGTTGGCTCTTCTATCCATAATGGTTTGAATTCTGCCAGCTGCTTCATCCATTCAATGGCCTGCTCAGTGTCCCACACCTGGTTGGCATCCACCATCTGTCCACAGATTGCAAGTCAGAACAAAAGTAATGAGAGAAGTAGCTCAAGGGGATTATGGTGATGGTGCACAGTGTGTTCAAATGAAACCCTGCCGAAAGTTTGCTGGGCTCTGAGGCAGGCATCCCACTGAGATACCAGCCAGTAGATTGATCCCCTCCACAAAGAATCCCTAGGTTGCTGCTGGAACCACTAAACCATCATGAGCTTGAATATATGGCCTTTTAATGCTTCCTTGAGGGGCCAAACACATGGAAGTCACGTGGTGACAGGTGCGAACTCTGTGAGGGATGGTGTAACACCTTGCTGTGTGTCCAGACAGTGCAAGCCGTGTGGGGATGGGCATCGTTGTGCAGCATGCCAGGGCACTTTACTTGATTGTGGTATAAAAGTCTCAGAGAGTTCCACAGTGGTGCTGTGTGTTGATGGTGATGTCAGAATCACTTAGTGCCAGTTTCAACAGTCAGTACCAAAAGAGCGAATGACAGCTCATTGACCATCTTTGGATGGATTCTGCATGTGGGACAGAGGAATATAATTGTGTCACATTTCCCATTTGCTGTAATGCACCTGTTCTTTTGCACAGCTCATAGTCAGTTGTTGGTGTGTCATGCCACAGCCATGTTATCACCTGTTTCAAGCTGCTCTGTGAAAAAGTTCATTTGAACAACCCTCATGTTTGTACTTAGTATTGCTGGGTTTCTGGACTTCATCAATTATCTGGTATTCTGAACAGAACATTTGGCATAATGGGCACACCCTTCCACCTGAGGACAGAAACATCCAGTTTCGTCCTTCTCAGAATATTAAATGGAGGATAAAGTTCAGAAATCTAGTACTCCCAAGATATTTGAATACTTAAAAGAGTTTATAGATTGTATATTCTTTATGCATCTTTATACTCTACATAACAGTCAGGAAGATAAGGAAATTGTCAGGAGTACAGGAAGTCTGTAAATTAGTATACCCCTTCTATTTTCAACCCCCCACCCATTTCACCCTTTTCCCCTCTCTTGTATTAATTTGTTATGATTCCTACATGGAAGTAGCTGTCATTTTCTCAGACATTAAACTGTTGAATGTTGAAGGTACAGTTACTTGTACAACTAGTTTTCATTCCTATATCAAAATGAGAAAAGCTATCTGTAAAATTTTTTCTAACATAATCTCCTTATTATGCATTCATTGTAAAAATATTATATATCTTAATTCTCTATTTCAGCATCCTGTTGCAAATCTTTAATTAAACGTCTGTGTATCCACAGTGCAACAATTGTTTTGTTAAGTGTTAAATGGTGAATAAACAATTGTTGCATTATTGACGGACTGTCGATACGTAGACATTTAATTGTATATCTTACCAAACACATCTATATTCATACAGCCAGAATAGCACACTCATGTGTACTGTAATTGTGCATACCAGCTTATTGTCCCAACCGATGATCTCTCGTACCATTGCACATCTGCAAAGGTCATCTTCCAGATTTTGGCCCACCTTTACTTTAAAGGCCGTAAAGCCTTTGGCAAGGTATTTAGAGCACAGAGCTTTCACTTGTTCATTTGAGTAACCCAGCCATCCTGTACAATGATAAGAGAGCATATTATACTTAGTCTGTAATTTCTGGAGGATTATCTGACTGACTGAATAAATGAATGATCAAAGAAATCAAATAGAGAAGGCTCTTAGATACCCTAGAACTGGGATTCAGGCTGTTTAAAATGTTTAAGGTTTTGAAAAACAAACTGGTGCCATGGTCTGTGGAGTAGAGTCCTTCTGGAGAAGCCAACAGCTGCCTACTGTAGAAATTCCATACCTTTTACAGGAACCAAAGTTTCATTACTGTACGCAGGCAAAAATTAGGCCCTGTGGTAAGCCATGCGAATCGAGTTCACATCTTAAAACCCTACATCTTTAGAATCCATTTTAATGTTGTGAAATGCAAGTTTTTGTGATGATGACTATGAATATACTATCTCCTAGGGAAAAACGCTGTGTAGTCTTGTAGATACCAGCAATTCAGAGGAACATGCCACCTCCACCTCACATGTCTTCAGAGGAATGTTGGTTAACTTCTGCCACGCTACATGGCACCACATCCCAGAAGACTAATCTTTATTTCAATTTTATTTCCACATCTATGTGCAAGTTTCCCAAGTGGTCTCTTTCCTTTAGGTTTTCAAACTAAGATTGTGTCCCATCTCTCCCTGTGCATGCAACATGTCCACCCATCTCATCTTCCTTGATTTGGTCATCCTAATGATATTTGCTGGGGCCAGTCACTGTAGCAGAGCAGTCTAAGTCATGTACTGTCTTCGCTCGCTTGGAAACTGGGGTCATGAGTTTGAATCCCACTGAGGGCATAGATGTTAAGTTTGTATGTGTGCATTTTTCTGTGTTTGTGTACAGGTAGAGGCCTTGCGACAAGCTGATCACCCGCCCAAGGAATCCTACAGAATGTGTAAGATCTAGAAAAACCAAAGTGAACGGAGAAGTTCATGGAGGTAGGCCTAGGCCCACTGGGGCTGTGGTGCCAAGAAAAAAAATTATATATGGTGAAGAATGCAAATTATGGGGCCCCTCATTATCCAATTATCTTCAGCCTCCAGCCACTTCCTCTTTGGTGCAAATACTCTCATCACCTCCCTGTTCTCAAATACTTTAATTTTGTGTTCCTCTCTTAGGGTAGGGAAAAAACAAGTTTTACTGCCACACAAAAGAAAAGATAAAATTTTAGTTTCATGTATTTTAATCTCTGTATTTTTAGGTGGGATATAGGAAGAGAAAAGATTCTGAACTGATTGTAAGCGAGCATTCTCTGAACCTGCTCTTAATTTCTTCATGAATATGGTTTCTATTTGTTAATGTCATTCCCAGATATACAGGTTTTGTATGTTTCATGGAAACAGTTCATATATAATAAACTTCAATAGCCCTTAGTTGTGGTTCATATGTGAATTACTAATTTCCCCAGCAAGTCTGATTTAAAGAAGCATTCCCCCCTCCAGAAAACCATGTATGAAGTCTGGAAATGTATAACAGTAATATTTTTACTGGATAATGCTCAGAAGTAACATTTCTTGACCACACTGTTTAGGAGACAATAAATGTGATGGTCAGGTATATGAACAGACATTCAAAATACTCATCAGTATGGATTATTGGTATAATGGCATAAGTGTGACACATAAGTGTAATACTGTTACAGTTGTATAGAAGGCTATGACTACCAGCTTGTGTCGTATAAGCTGGATATCCAATTCTTATCATCCGTTCCTCCCGTTCCTCCTTGCCCTCCTGCATCGCTTTCAACATTGCAATTGCTTCCTGTTTCGTTACCGCATCAGAGCTGAAATAAAATTCAGTATCACTGTTGTGTCTGATATGATGCAATTAAAATGTAATTTATGTAAGGGTATCAGTATATCGAGAATATTGCAGTATTTCTCATCCTTACAGCCTATACCATGTAGGCCTCATCTGTGCATTTGTCTCCCAGTGGCATCCATCTAAACAGTTTTGTGGATTTCTTGATTTTCCATACGTGTAAAAATAAGAAGAGGGAAGGTTTAATGATAATTTAAATGGAGTAGTAAAGGTTATGTGCATGATTCTACGGTACAAAACTAATATGTACAGGTGTGCTGGAGCCAGTTTGGCCTAAACAATATGCAGAAATTTAAAACAGATAGAAGAGAGGGGGGGGGGCTGGAAGCAAATCCAGTCTGATCAGATGCTACAAAGCAAGATTGTCACTCATGGGGGCAACCTCAGCCTCTTTGCATTCTGAAAACTAGACTAATAAAGAAATGGTAATTGGAAACTGACAGCTAAACATACTATGACATGACACCTGAAAGCCAGAATGGTGGAGCCACAATAGACGTTCACATGCTAGGCAAATGCTTGGTAAACACGTTCCTGTAGCAACAAATACGCAAGCAACAATTGAGGTATTGTTGGACTACAATGATGGAAACTGTGTTTTCTGTTGGGTCTAAGCATAGGCTATATAATGAGGGTCCCAAGCCAAAACCACCAGTCATAAAGTAACTGACTCTGACTCTGCTGAGAGAATAATTGAGAGTCCCTTGAGACAGCAGTCAAAGATGATTGAGGACAGATGGAAACGAGTCAGTTGAGTTGCAAAAGTCAGGCTGTGAAGAGAAGACTTTACATATGTTGCAGTTACAGTGAGAGTGGTATAATTAATGTGCTTATAACCGTTGCCAGGATATGACTAGTGAAGACTGAGAACCCTGGTGAACTATAAAGTGTGCAGATCAGTGAGAGCGCTGTATTACTTGCAGTTTCATGTGGTGTGTACAAGTGGTCAATAAATCCAATCTGTACTTCATCTATAGTCACACACCCCCAAATCATGACAATACAAACTGGTATGTAAGAACACCATTTCATACACATGAATGGAAATTTAAAATGACTGTCACATACTGTTCACAAGTTTCTTGCCACAGAAAGACCCATCCTGCTTCAGACAGTTTCTCAGAAAACTGACTACAGAATAAAATGCACAGATTTTATAGTTTACTACAGATAGGCACATGACTACAGAGGGGTGAACAGGCACTTACATGTATCTGAAGTCAATTGTAGAAACTAGTTGCTCTGGTTCCATATCCACCAAAAGCTTCCACAATGGTTTCTGCTGCAATTTTGCCCAAAGATCCCACAGGGCATTTATAATGGCTGCTGTGGCAAGATGAATGACTCCCTTCTCTGGGCCCACCTAAAGAAGGGAAGTTTTTATTATTGTTTATTTATAAATGTTTTAAGTTTTGATACATACTCATAGAAGACTGATCACTTTGTAGGTATGCTGCACATTTTATTCTTATTGACTTGAAGCTATCAATTTTAAAATATCATACATGTTCACAGAATAGTGTAACAGATTTGCTAAGAGCATCGCTAGACAGCAGCTCGATAAACATCCCGCGATATGCACACGCAACAATAGATGAATGTTATAGCTCGTTGCTAGGCAGTAGTCAGTGTGCCAATGAAATAGCTGGGTAGCAATCACGATTTGTGTTTTCTGTGTGGTCCATGTGGAGCCTACGTAACAAGGCTCTGTTGTAGCTTAGATTAGTGAGGCGGGGTCAAATACCTCCACCGTGACCCTGCGAGTCATAGGAGGTGACAAAAAAGGAAGTCTCAGACCCAAGAAAGACTGTGCTGATAAGGGCCAGCAGCATATACAAAAGACAGACCCTGTCTTCTCATCAGAGAGGGCGCCCCACAGAAACAGGACCGTAACTGTCAAACGATAATAATTATCGACACCAAGACTCACTGACTGACTGACATGTCCTTAGTGAATTGTGAAGATCAGTTGAGTGCAGATTAGGACAGAGGAGTACAGAGTGATTGAAAACAAAATAGTTCATAGTGGTTTGAAGTTGTAGTTTCTGTGTAGAGATCCGTTGCCAGGAGATGACTAGTGTGTGTGTGTGTGTGTGTGTAATGGTGAATTCAAAGTTTGTAGAATAGGGATAGCATTATAATTGAGTTCAATTAAGAGAACTTGTAAACAGAGTAGATTCTAAAGGGTTCTGACAGTGGTGGGGTTTTGGACTTGTTCCATCGTGTGGAATTTTTAGGTAATAGAGGACACGATGTTTCGGAAACTGGATCACCTGAAGACGGAAACAGATCAAGTTTCTGAAATGTCGTGTCCTCTATTTCCTAAAATGCTGGATGATGGAAAAAGTCCAAAATGCAAGTAATTTTGTAAACGAAGGTGTTAATAAATCCAATCATCTGATCTAGAAACCATTATTTTTGTCATCCCTACCCCCTATACGTGATGATGGCTTAAATTGTGTATTTTGAACTCTATTTCAGTATGCACTTTAGTAAAAACAGAAAATATATGCACAGAATGAGTTACACTCCTTGGAAATATATTCTCAGAAATAATCTGAAATGACTCAGATTCTCTCTGCTATCAGTGATTCAGTTAGACTGAAACTTGAAGAAGATATTTTTAACCTTCATCTGCATTTGATCCACTGGAAGTTTTCCATTATGTGTAGGGCTCAGGATGGGAACCAATGGTGAGTAATAAACCTTGGTTCCATAATATATTGGAAATTTTGTGATAGGTGAGTGATTACTAGCTTTTCAAGAAGGACTGTGCTTCATGGAATTATATATATACTGTGGGTGAAAATATTGACACTGGAAAAACATCTTATTGGTATTTTATGCTGGTGTGCCTTTGTTTTGATTGGGATAGGGAAGCGCCTGCAACTGAGCACAGTACTGTCAGTTAAGCCAGGTTTACACGGGTCAAGTATCTTGCCTCCGCACTTGCGTGGTTTTGTTCTACTTGACTTGACTTAACTACACGTGTTTTCACGTAGTTCAGTAGTTGTTCAAGTGGTTTTGAAACATGGCTGCAAATCGTGTTGTGCTGCGAAATTGTTTGATAAATTTAACGAATCTTCTCGTGGAAAAATTGGAACAAGTTTTGGAGGAACAGAGAAATCCTGTGAAGAGGATATGGTGTCATGTTTTTATTGCGGTACTTGGCACTACTCTTCTTCCACAAGCACTCTTTTTCATGGTAGAGCTCAACAAACCGAATGGTTTCTTCTTCTGACCACTTCATCATTCACAAACTACACAAATCCAGGGAGGAAATACACAAAGTGTATACAATCAAATGCCTGATATGAGAAAGCTGGTAATATTAGCCCTGCCGGCCTGCTCACTTGCATCATCTCTTGTTTACACTGGTAAAGTCAGCGGTCAAGTAGGCGATCAAGTGGTAAAATTCGTGGTAGGGGTAGCAGTCAAGTCAAGTTACTTGTCCACCGTGCAGAACTACTTGACTTGTCTCGCTACTTGACGCAAGTCGGTACTTGACTTGGCCGGAACTGTTTACGCGATGCAAGAAAAATATTCTAATTAACTTTACCGCTCTACATGACCGTTTACTTGACCCGTGTAAACCCGGCGTTAATCTAGACCCTGGAACTCATTCAGTCATATCTCAGATGTGATCGGTTTACTATTCACGACAGGACTGCAATAGTACTGATGTTTGTGTTGATGTGAGAAGTTCATGGTGATGATGATGATGATGATGATGATGATGATGATGCAACTTACCCATCTTAACTGTGAATCATTGGTAAGTTTCCTCCAAAAGCCAGCAAAATCGTTAAATATTTGACCTGCATCCTGACCAACCACAAGTGGTGATAGTGATTTAACAGCAGCTACAACTGGATTGAGGAAGCATATTTATTATCAGGATACTCCATCAGATACATGATGAATATGATACAGAAATATCTTAGTCCATACTCAAATGCTGGTGGCAACTTATACTTCTATTTGAGGAAGATTCTGATGTAGTGGCATGACATAATTATATAAACAAACTTCAGAATATCCAGGTCATATTAAAAGGTAATGCAAACGCCTATTCAATGGCCAGATTTTATTTCTTAAATTAACTGCACTCAAATAGCGAAAATTATTTCTTTGTTGTGACATCCTTGTGAATATAAATTATTCCCACTGACAAGGTTTCTAATGCTGCATATAAGTTGCAGATACAAGAGATTTTCAAACCGAAGGTATATTTCTGTTTATTGAAATAATTTTAATGTTTTTACTTCCAAAGTCACTACCAACTATATCAGATTGTTCAAAGAATAAATTGATTCCACAGAGTTTCACATTTTAAAGCTGTTGGACTCATTGCCGGGCAAAGAATACAGCACAATTATACGCCCTAAAGACAACAAACAGAAATGATTCAATTTATGTATAATTTTAGATTGACTAACAACATACACCACAGAACAACACAGTATGAATGCAGCTCTTACAGTTACTTTTAATGTTACCAGTATATTCCCATTTTGAAAAACTGACAGACATTGCCTAAATTATGAAATAAACCATTCTCATTAAATGCAAGAAAAGAAATGTACATGACTACAGTACACTGTATGTTCTACTAATAGAAGAAGAAAAATGTGTTAATATATGAGGAGACAGTACATTTTAAAATGGTTCTTGTGATGATACATTATAGTTAGTATTGCTGAATTTCAGAACTTCACCCATTCCAGACAGAATGGACCAGTGACTGGTTGCTAGGGGTAACAGTTTTCACCTGAAGACAGAAATTGATCCAATTTCCAAAACCTTGTGTTTTATTTGCAGTACTAAGACAATGGACAGAAATCCACAATCCCAATGATACTGAGAGAATGCATTATTCTTAAGTATCTCTCATTAGCCTATAGGTTTCCACTTACCAATTTCATTCCCACGGCCAATGGTGAAGGTTAAGCCGTGACCCTCCACATCTCCTTCTGTGTAGACAGTGACATATGCACAGGAATAGTCACAGTCCACATGCTGCCAGCCAGAGTGTTACAGAGTCAGTGATTTTAACATGTACACTATGTGCAAATAGAAAATTTAGTGGACTATGAAGTAAAATTCTCCGCCCGCATATGCAAAGTCATTCTTGTAAATGACTGAGAAACGGCAGTTAATTTCCCTTTCTGTAAATGTATAGCAGTAGCTGAAGGTTTGGGGGGCACCTTTTAGTGTGACAGTATGACCTCGGAGTCAAGTAAATTTTCCATTTAAACATGCAGGTTACAATGATTTTGTGTAAATTGACCTACAATGGAAAATGCACTTAAACTTTTGTATCAAGTCATATTAATATGCTTAATGCTATGTGAACATTTTGATTCAAGCATTTTATTGATAAATGGACATCACACCTTCACTCATGCTATAGACAGTTCATTTAAATTCACCAGGTGATTGTGTAAATTCTAAGTGAACTGGAGGCCACAGGATAACTGAGTATACATCAGAAAATCCCAAGAGAATTAGAACTCAAAAGCAGTCTTGAACTTTATCTCATAAGTACAATTTATACTGTATTCAGTTCTTCAAAATAACTCATGAAGAATGCCATCTTCTGGGATGTAACTCTGTGTAGGTATTGTGATGATTTTTTATATCCTGAAGATGGAGGCGATATGTTCCTCTGAAACGTCGGTTAACATGATATCTACGTGGCGCCACATCCCAGAAGACGGTATTCTTCGTAGTCACCGCCATGAAAGCCTCAAATTAAATAGCTCAGATTAAAATTATATAACATCAAGAACACTGTTTGTGTAGTCCTTTGGATATGATTCATATTAGAAAGGCAAATAATTGAAGTTAGTTGCATTAAAAGTCCCCCCCCCCCCAGCAATCATCTAGATTTTTATTGCAGTTCCATCCCTGGAGATATCTGTCCACCTTGGACAGGATACAGAATCCGTTTCTGAAGTAGGGACATGCAGAGGGCAGATTCTAGTACCTCTAAGTAGGGCGATCATGAGAATTAGAGGGGACCTGCCTACATCTTGATGTGGGTTCAGAACCACTGGGGAGGGGGGGATATGCTGGTATTTATTACATTTTCAAAATGTTATCTTTGGTAGAGGTGAAAGCGTCCATCTGTGAGCAGAGAAGTCCACACACACAAAGCTGACCAGGATCCTAGTCAGAACTATCTGACCACTCTTGACAGCACTAGTTCTACATTGTTAATGTATCAGTTCATANCTGGTATTTATTACATTTTCAAAATGTTATCTTTGGTAGAGGTGAAGGCGTCCATCTGTGAGCAGAGAAGTCCACACACATAAAGCTAACCAGGATCCTAGTCAGAACTATCTGACCACTCTGACAGCACTAGTTCTACATTGTTAATGTATCAGTTCATGCATATTTTGTTTCCTCTGATTTCTAGTGACATCATCATTCTAGATAATTCTGATGATGTAACCTTTCAGCCACCATCCTGCAGTTACAGGGTGCTGTGTGTAAATTCCGGTGAAATATCCTCATATGTGAGCAGCATTAAACTGATCAAGCAAGTTGACTCAGGCATCAACTTGTATTCAGGAGTCACCCAATTCAAATCTCATTTAGAACATCAACTATTCTGACTCAGGTTCCTTGTAGTTTTTTTTTAGTTCCATACCTCTGGGGGGTAAAGGGTGGCCAGTGCATAAGGCTGTCAACCTCACTGCCATCCATGAGCTGATTCTCTAGAAAATGGGGAGCCTCAACGTCTCACAACCCTATGGGCCTCCATGGCCTGTTATAGGGATGGCTTTACCTTTACCCCTCAAGAAGAAGCTGGGATGAATCTCAAATGGGTCATCGCCTCTTCCTTCCACAGCCTTTCCAGATCATTATTCACTGATCATCCTTTCACTCAATATCACAGAGACTGAGTAGCTGACAGCATCACCACACAGTACAGTATGACATAACACAGAACTGACTAAGTGTAAAAGAGCTTACCATGGCATCAGATCCATGCAACTCCAGTGATGTGGGAAAGCGAATGTCTCGTACATGAAGGGTTCTAATCTTCAGTCCTCTATCTTGATACATGCTGCTGTGTTCACTAGAATGGCAAGAAATTTCCTTTTGAAGGATCACTTAATTATTTTGTACTTGTAACCCTGTAGCTCTCTTTCAAAATAACATGTGGAATACTATTTCTGACCATAAGGACATCTGGTTCTAATTCTCTCTGAGGATACATAGACCATTACTGCCCTGTGCCCTATATCATGAAGATATGTAATACTTTCAAACAGGGAAATCTTATTATTACTAGGACATTTTAGCACATTCAGTATCCTTTTCAAAAGAAATATTAAAAAAAAAATACTTTTGCATATTTCATACATTTGAATAAAATCAGTTCCACTTTCTGAGCTGTCCTCTGTCCTGTGGGTTCTTGCTCATATAAGTATCTAAATTATTCTCTTTTCATTTCATCTACTTTGCCTTAATTTTACAATAAATATTTTTACTCCTGAATTTGTATAAACTAAAAGTCTCATTAAAGAGAATTTGTTCTCTTCAAAAATATATGTTGTGTAGAGTTGTATTTCTTATAAAACATAATGTATAAAAGTATATTTCTGATAAAGTAGGTTATGTCTTCTGGGATATAATATCATGTAGTCCAATGAAAACCGAAATTTTTAAGGAACATTTAGCCTCCATCTTCAGAGTCTAAAAATAAGCCAAGCAAGAAACCAGCAGGTAGCAAGCATAGCATTTCTTGGCTTATTCTTTTATCGTGAAGATGGAGGCTGTATATTCTTTCAAAATGTTAGTTGATTTTCACTGGACTATACTGCATCATATCCCAGAAAACAGATTATTTTGTAACCACTGCTGTGAGAACCTCAAATCCAAACTGTCTGTAGTCTGAACATAGGTAACAAACAAACGTATTACACAGTGCCCTTCTGTTTATGTCCTTATCAGCCAGACTCACTCCTCTTCTCTGTCATCATGCTGCAGTCATAAACAGGTGTAGCCTAATGGCCTTCAGTCTTATACACATATGGTTGCTAATGTTGTTGAACAGCCTTTGCATGATAATGGTGTTAAGTAATGAAGGCTGGCTGTTACATTGTGAGACAATGCCACATCTCATTAACAGGGCTAAATCATACTTGTGATACCCTTACGCCTATTTTTCCTCCTTTCATGAGTAATTCCTTCATAAATTTTGTCATTGTCACATTTTAATTTTAGTTTAAAAGGAGTCACTTTTGGAATCCCGGCATTCTTTTATTTGTGTGGTGCCGCACCATACCTCAAGCAGTTAGTCGCTGGCTTCTCATTGCGGCTGCCTGGGTTCGATGCCGGGTCTGGTCAAGTGGGATTTGTGGTGGACAAAGTGGTGCTGGGACAGGTTTTTTCTGAGTACTTCGGTTCCCCTGCCAATCTTCATTCCACCAATTGCTCCACAATCACCATCACCTATCATCTGGGGCTGGTACAATAGGCCAGAAGTGGCCACAGTACAAGGCCTTGTATATATTGTACATAGAAATAGGAATTAAGACTAGAATTAAGTTGTAAATATATGTCAATACTGACAATGGACTGACCAAGACTGACAAATGACAGACCCGACCTCTCGTCAGAGAGGGCGCCCCAAATGGACAGGACAGCAACTTTCACGAAGAAGAAAACATCTGGTCATGAGCCAAGTTGGGGCTCAACACAAAGACAGACAGACTGACTGACCGTCAGTTGCAACATTACTTTGACTTTGACTTGATGTTCAGCAACATGCTACTGACTTAGGATTGAGTGTTGTCCATTGATAGGTGAAACAGCATGATAGTATGTGGGATGTTCCCACACACCTTTCCTATTGTCACTGCCAAAATTAAATCTCTGTGAATGATGCAAATTATAGCATGCAATCTTCATGGCCCTGATTCTCTGTAAAGCTTCTGCCATCCATCATTATCCTGTCATAACTCCATGTAACTGAGGTTTTCAGCTCAGATATAGACAAGAAGTTCCCCACATTTTGTGGGAAACCAGAGGTTTCTATCCAGGTTTGCTTTACTCAATCCACGGTCCCCATATTACTTTCCAGAATTTTGGGTACATTTCATATCTCCTCTCCTTATGCTGCTTGTTCCACTTACACCATAGATATCTTTGGTAGCAGTGTATTTGAGTGCTAAACTGAGGAAGAACTTAAGTAAAGGAAATTTAACATTGAGGTCATTTATTGGCTTGAGATCATTGAAACTGAACATTTCACCAATCAGCTGGATATTATTTTCTTGCCATTTTCATAAAGCAGTGCAATTTGAAAATCAAAATGATGCGTTTTCATAGCCCAGTGAATGAAGTTGAATGACCCAGGAAAAGGAGAAGATTATTTCTTGATGTGGACTGAAGTTGAATGTTGCACTATATGTTAATGGGTGCTTACCCAACTTGAGTCAAATAATACCGCAATATAGTTAAATGAAGGAAAATTGAAATAAGGGAACAGTAAATGGAAATTCTACTGTTACTACATTAACTTAGCTTAACCATTTTTCTTGCTCTTTTCTTCATAACAGAATTGAAAGTTACCTTCTTTCAGTCATCCTTGTTGTTGGTTAGAACTGTGTCTACTTCAGTAGCTTTCCACACCCCTCTTATCTGTTTCATTCTGTGTATACATCAAAACAAATAAATGTGGCAGCTGATTGTTGATAACATGTGTTTTCAGATAATAATCTTATAATATTATATCAAGGTTACTCAACCGAAGGAGAGAAAGAGACAGATGAGACTGTCATCTACATTCACTTTGGTCGGTTGTGCAGACCAAAATGAATGTTATGGCCAGTATGTGCTGTTTAACTGTAGTAATTCCATGGCACAGTATCCTTGAGAAGCTAGTAGTCCAACAGCTAGTAAAATTCTTCCCATTTTAGAGAACCCAAAGGTTCATTGCCATGTCCACAAGAGCCCACTACTGGCCCCTATCCCTGCCAACCTCTTCCTCAATATAATTTGTTTCTTCAGTGATGCAAGTGCAATAGACTCTTCTCAATATTTCACCATACAAGTTTATATGTATGGATAGGCAGATGCATTTCATCAGAGTGTAGGCATGCATTACCAAGAATTATGGCATATCAGGTTCTCACAATGGTGACTTTTGCCTTTTGTATGTGATGCCACTTAGCCTGGTAGATGCTACTGCATCTTCCTTCTAACATCAGTAAGCATCTACTGGACTATATGGCATCACTTTTCAGATGATTGTAATATTATTAACAAGAACTGCTTATTCCTCAAATCACCATGACGTAATTGATCTTGCCATTAAAAGAAGGATGGACACCCATGATTTAAACTAGATTCTTTCTTTGAACAGTATTTTAGTGAGGTAAATGTTTAATTGTACGTTTGTTTAAAACCTCATAATGTCTTGGAAGTAATGTGTGAATGCGATTTGCCACTGTGTTAACAAGGAATGTGCCTTTCTATATATGACTGTCTGGAATTTTTCTCTTTTGTACTTTTTATCAAAGCTCTGCCTACAACCCACAGCAATTCAGGATCCAGGATGTATAAGTCGAGAACAGATACATGATTTTGATTAAATTTGATATGGGAGAATTTCATGAAAATCTGTCTAGCCATTTAAACTCCATGTAAGTCAAAATTTTCAAATCAATTTTAAATGCTGACCTTCCCCTTTAAGTGCTTATATTTCATCCATTTAATGTTGTCACTTGTTCACTGACTAGACAAGGGATTTTGATGTATTACAATGGACATCATGTCTGGTTCCTGCATTCCAATTTGTAGCTGACATGTCACACAGAATGAAAAATGTTTGAAAAGAAGTCACAAAGAAAATGCAATAAACATTTTCTGGCTATTATACATTTCCTGAAATCTTTCACTTTTCGATATAAATTTAACAGGGGTGAACAACACTTCTCATAGTAATATTGTATTCTAGCGTCATATTGTGTGCAAACCTTTTATTATAGCATCTGTCGACACAGTGCCTGTACAACCCCAAATTGTTATGTTATGTATACATTTCTGAACAATCTTCAGTGATGAACGATGCTGTCTGACACTTGTTTAACATTTTTGAAATGCCGTTTATTTCTAGTTCCCATGCTTTCTCTTTTATGTGTTTACTCTGTAAACAGTGGAAAGATATATTTAAAATGCATTTAGTACTGTTCATGCTTGAAGTCTTCAGTTTTACGCTATTTATAGGAGAGACAATTAGAAAACTGCTTCCTAACAAATAATTTTATAATAAATACTGTGTGGGATTATCGATGTTCTAAAAGACAACCACATAAAACCGTAACAATTGTATATACAGTAAAACCTGTCTTAAATGGAATCTCAAGGGACCAGAAAAAATTTCGTCTGAAGCCAGTGTAATGAAGTGGGCCTCGCTCGCTAATGTCGTTGCCGCCGGTGATGAGGTGGAGAAAGTCACCAGAGAGAAGGCTCACGTAGAATTTCAGGATACCTTTCATAGGTACGCAAAAGAACTAAGTCTTTTGGTTGCAGAATATAAGAATGTTATTTAATAAGATGTTCTGTAGATACACTGATGGTAAGTAGTTACAGTAGAAATACAACTCCAACTTCCAGTAGGCTACAGGAAAGTTTACAGATTAAAGATTCGAACCGAAAACTGGCAGAGCTTCGCCGTCTGAAGAGTGATCAATAGATAGTGATACTTGGAGCTACAATACTCCTGTATTTATAGGGCCAATCTGGGCGTTGGCTTGAACGAAGTCCACTCATAGCGTCTACTATTATTACAAAACATCTGCTCTCGTGAACATGAGTCAGCTCATATTCCCAGTTTAGACCTATAATACACACTTGTCACAACATGTTACAATTCCTAACTTTCAGACTTTGATGCGGTCGCTTTAATCAAATTAATTGGTTAGGGTGACTGTTTACTCCCTCATATCGACATCAGGGTCATAATGTCATCTGTCCCATGCGGGCGACTAAAATAACAGTTTTTTGTAACATTTCTAGACTGGCTTCATACATTATTCTTACAATTAATCTGTCATACCAAATACTACATTAAATTGAACCTTAGAGGGGTTTTTCAATTATAGTAAATATAGTGGTAATTAATAGCAGGTGTTACTGTATCCACTCAGTAACCCTTTAGTTCTGCTACTTAGTTACACTTTACGTTTAATTACATTTATAGTATTCCATTCATGATATATATCAATATTTGATTATAGTACCTTCATTACGTACACATTATTATCTTCCGTACACCTTTGTACTCCATCATATACATTCTGCACACCTTTGTGCTCCTTCATTACACCAGGTTTTCGCTTAATCAAGGTATACTATAATAACTAAACAAGGACATAAACGTATTTGAGACAAAAAAAAACATGCTCATTAATTTATTCACACTATAATCATTGAACACATGCAAACATTACACTGAACAGGAAAAAATTGCAGTACTCACTTTTTATAATTTTACCAGAACTCCGGCAGAGTTATGCAGTTTACTCTCTTAGCTGCCTGACTTTCCAAAAACACTTTAGTTTGAGAAATTAGAGTAAGCATGTCTGAATCATTCCGTTGCACGGCAAACTCCTGCAGTACCTTTAAACTGTTGGCAGCATCCTGATAAGTCTTCACTCTACATGCTCTACACTTTTCTTCTTCTATCACAATGTCATTTTCCTCTTCTTCTTCCTCTTCCTCCTCTCTTCCTTTTCGATTTTCTCTAAAATTCTCAACTAATACATCGATATCCATTGTGTCTGGCTCTGTTTGCACATCTTTGTCTATGTTGATGTAGTCCTCAGCATTGTAGTTACTGAAAGCAGCTTCATTCATGCAATATTGTAAGTCCTGGTCGTTCTCATTTTCTACATTTCATTTCATTTATTTCGTGTCCATGGATCATTATACATGATATAAGACATGTCATTCTTGTGTAGTTATAGTATAATAAGTTTCATGATGTTACT